CTAACACAGTCATCTGACACACAGCATATTACACACAGTACAGTACAAGCATAGTACAGGCTATTTACAGTTAGGCCTTTATGTCCTGAAAAGTAAAATAAAAGTTAAACAAGGGCACTTTCTTTTTATGTTTAATTTTATCACTCAGATTACCACATGAGGGCAGCAAACACTTATTTTGTGAAATCTGTTCATTTTTGGCCTAGTGAATTTTGCACTGATCCAGGAAATCTGCACTGGTGAGAAGCTAACCATCCCTTAATCTTTAATGTGAAAAATGTTCGGACAGTCACAAAAGAGAAATCACTCGCATAGTAGGAGTCTGGAGTAGCAAATAAATGTTCTGGTAAACTCTTGGTTGGGGGAAGGTGACAACTTGCTCATACTGTGTTAACAAAGACTAGGGAAGCCCTGACTAATGCTGTGGATGCTGATGAGTGTCGGCAGGATCTCTGTGAGTAACTGCTCCACCCAGTGGACATGCCATCTCACCAACAGACAGTGCTGGAAGCTTCTGGTAGACCGAAATGTATCACTACATCCAAAGCATCTATGGTGAGCTCTCCATCGTGGCTTCAAAAGTAAACAAAACCTGCCCAAAAGGTGATTTTACCTGATGCTACTGAGGTTATGTGGTTGGTGTATGCCTTCGATGTTACCTAGAAAGTAGAAGAAGCCCCTCTAGTGGTGATTTTATTTTTTAAGGAACATGGGGTGTGTTGGAGTGATCACTCATCTCAGGCATCCTGGGAAAGTCAGTGGCAGAGTAGAGGAGCAGAGAAGCCATAGAATGGTCATAGAATGACATATATTGGTGGCAGGGGCACTGTGATGCACAGGGTTACCCAGACTGAAAAGGGGAAACATCTAAGAACAGAGTAAGGGGGCTCTCACTATGTTAATGTGCCTCTGGACGGGCTCCAGAAATATCAGGTGCAGGGAACCTCTGTTCAAATGTAGAACAAGTTGTGTCCACTTCCTCAGCTCCAAGTTAGGGTTGCGTATAATGGATTTTGGCTTCCTTGAGTTTGCTACTTGTGATTTCCATGGACCATCCATGTCATTTGCAGGTTATGTTGTTATGACTGGGAATTCCTACATGATCTGGCACATACTAGACTTTTTATAATGTTGAGTTTGCTTGGGGATGCTGGAGGATCCTTCTGGCAGGAGCTAGAGTCTGTGACCTTGAACGGAAGTTTGGTTTGGTCTATTACGTGTGCTAGCAAGTTCATAATGAGTATTTAGCCAGCTTTTTACAAAAATATTAAATATTTGTAAGTTCTGGAATAATTAAAAATTTATTGCTTGATGTTTGATTATTTTTAAGTTCAAAGATACAAAATAAGGGTAGATAGATCATATCCTCTTTAAATCCAAAATGACAGCCATGTAATTCTTATGGTTACGCTGCCTGTTGCATTTAACACGGGACACTGAGGAGAAAATACGGTACTGCAGTTTTATATTCTGTTTGTGGCCATACTATGACATGGAATGAAATACAGAGCGATTAAGCAGTAAAACATAATCATCACAGGCCAGAACAAAACAAGAATGTAAGGTAAGAAGTGTAAAGCCTCCATCTACCTTCCATGACCATTTATACAATACAAAGGCATGGTCAGCCTGAAAGATGGGGACAAAGACGGGGACACCCTGGAAGGATGTCCTTCAGTCCATATGAAAGAACGCAGACACACACTGTTACAGGGGACAAAGATGGGGACACCCTGGAAGGATGTCCTTCAGTCCATATGAAAGAACGCAGACACACACTGTTACAGGGGACAAAGATGGGGACACCCTGGAAGGATGTCCTTCAGTCCATATGAAAGAACGCAGACACACACTGTTACAGGGGACAAAGACGGGGACACCCTGGAAGGAT